TTGGAAACGAACCTCTTGAAGAGAGTCTCAAAAATGGGAAGGGAGCAAAAAAAGGCGCTATATCCCTCCTTTACTACGTCAGATGGTCGGACATTTGCAAGAAATGATCTCAAAGCAAGCTTTTCTTTAGTGGAAGCTTCTTTTTGAATAATTTCTAGAAATCTTCCTGAGGGCAAAGATGAGGCAGTTGTCATCATTGCTTTCACAGCGCCCGGGACAGTTGGTAAATTCACATAGGTTCCCACAACACCTGGATGGTAGCTTATGAACGTCTGACAACAGTCCTGCTGGGGCGGGAGAGACGAGTCAAGGTAACAGGTGTCCGAGACATACTCAATGGGATCAGAGGTAGTCCTTCGAGTTTGCGAATATCCCTCTCAGTTTTAAAATGGCGTTGCAGATAATTCCAGAGCGACTGAATCCACGTCCGTGAAGGATGATGGTGACTGGGGCTATCCGGATACCACAAGATTGAGTCGCCTTTCTTCCAGTCTTGCGGAAGCGACTGCCAAAGAAGTTCAGGTACGTGATGACTTCTGAGGAGTTGCAGTTGAGTTTGTCCTAGTGTGTTTAAACACAGTAATAAAAAAAAACGCTTAGCAATGTTATTGATTTTCTATTGTGATGCGGGTTATTTAGGCTAAACATGCCGCAACCTTTTAAAATGTCTCAACGAATATAAACATTTGGCGATGCAAACCCTGAAAAAATGCCGTGTAAAGCTGAGTTGCGTTATTTGCAAAATGCCCTTTATCAAAGAAAAGAAACCTAAACTAAAACGCCAAGAAAGAAGTGCTCCAGCGGATGGCACGATTTAGGATTAGTTCATATTTGCCTTCCTAAGTACGAATTGAACTTAATATCGGAAGAAATAACATGTTATGAGACGCCTTCTGACTTCATTGGGTCGATCTCTTTCTAATAGTCGACGCGTAACTGTGGTTGTGCCCCAATGGTCCATTTTAGGGCCGTTATTGTCTTTTCCTGTACATTAATGATGTCCACAAAACCTTCAGTATGCATCTATTGCCTTATTTGCTGATGACGCAGGGCTGAGCTATTCTTCCTCTTCCTTAGAATATTTGCAGCACAAGCTAAATACTGACCCGACGAATGTGGCCTGGCTGGAAGAAAAGAAACTTACTCTCAACACGTCCAAGTCTAACATTTTAAGATTACCGTATCTTGGAAAGAGAATCTACGTTTAAGTGTTTGAGAATAATGATTAACAAAAATCTCTTTTGGGCTAATCATTGATATTAATTTTGTGAGCAAGAAGGTTAATCAAAGACTTGGCGATCTGCATAGGATTAAGCATCTACTACCAGTCTATGCTCGTAATGTATTTGTTAGTGCCATGGTATCACCGTTTTTTTATTACTGTGATATTATCTGAGGTGATACGAATAATAAAGTGTTAATGGATTCCCTCCAGGTACTGCACAATAAGGCGGCTAAGATTGTTCTCCATCGTTGTGTACACTCTTCATCTACTCAGGCGCTTCTCGAACTTAGGCGGATCAATCTTCGGGTTCGACGGAGCATTCATCGGCGTGTCAATATTTCTTAAAATACCTTTTAATGGCCTTTCGGATCATAATCATCAATTTTAGCACTGGGTCTTCAGTCCACTATTACCAAACGCGTCATGCCAGTGATTTGAAAAATGATAGACCTCGTTGTAGTAAAGGCCAACTACGTTCTTCATATCTTCTATTCAAAGAATGGAACGATATTCCTCTTAAAGTCAGAAACAGTGAAAGTATTCGCAGTTTTTAAAAACGCTGTTTTACATCTTTTAGCATAATTTTGATAGAGAAAATGAGACTTTGTACTTTTTGCTATCTATTTTACGTGCTTAGTGTTTTCATTGTTTAGTATAGTTTTAATTTAGGGACAGGTTTCGTCTGAAAACCACCCATGGGTGATGCCGACGTCCTGTATTACGATTTTTTAGTTATTATTACGCCTACCTTCAGAAGCTGCACTTCTTAGGTTTTGAAGAATATCTTCTTCTAAATCTTTCCGCAAAAATTTTTCAGGTATGTCTGGAAACAGTTCTTGAGGATGTTCTGGAGAGGTTATGTAAACTGTGGAAGTGTGACTGTCAAATTTGGCAAAAGTTCCGTTGGCTAATGGTAGAAGCTTTAGGTTATTCATATCTTAGAAAAGATGATCACTGAGACAGAACTGGAGAAGTAGCAACTTCCCCGTCTTATCAAGACTGGTGTAGCATGAGGGTACCTTCCTTAATACATGTCGTGTCAGAGGAGGCGTGATTTCCTTTTGACCTGGTGCATAGACATCCACAGCCTGCAGCACATGACTTGGTACAGTGATAGCAGGGACACCGACTGATAGCAGAACCTCAAGAAGCAGCTGATGTTCTTCGCGGTCTGTTAGACGCTGAAAAAGCGCTTCTGAAACTGCCAGCCATTTGCCACCTTTTGCTTCTGTGTGAACAACGTTCTTTGCCAAAAGCAACCGAAATAAAGGTTCCTCAAGCCCTTTCCACTGCTTGTCTATAATGTTGATATCAGGCCACGCTCTGAAACGAGATACAAAATGCGCGTGTTTATTGCGGCTCCCGGTTTTCTTTACCATGAATGAGCAATACCTCTTTATATGAATAACAACAACAAAAAGAGATCACACTTTCTCTGTAGGTGGTGCTTTATGACAGACCTGCCATACTTATTCAGTTAATACGCACAGCACAGTGAGTATAGAAATCCTCTAACCCCAGATAACAATGATTTGTAAGAGTTTCACTTTAATTACAAGTATATTTGAAGGCGTTATAGTCTTACTCTAATACAATATAATTTTTTCAGTAGGTTGGATTCAATCTTTTTATTGCAAATATTCTTTTGTAAAACTCAGTAGCTTTTCAACTAAATGTCAATTCATTTAGACAAACTGTTATGTTATGTTATGTTCTCTGAACATATTTTAAGGATTATCGTCCATTGTTAATCTTATCCTGTGTTCGTAAGTTGGAGTTGAAAAAAGTGTTTTTTTTTTTTTCCATAAAAAAAAACTTNTTCCTTAATACATGTCGTGTCAGAGGAGGCGTGATTTCCTTTTGACCTGGTGCATAGACATCCACAGCCTGCAGCACATGACTTGGTACAGTGATAGCAGGGACACCGACTGATAGCAGAACCTCAAGAAGCAGCTGATGTTCTTCGCGGTCTGTTAGACGCTGAAAAAGCGCTTCTGAAACTGCCAGCCATTTGCCACCTTTTGCTTCTGTGTGAACAACGTTCTTTGCCAAAAGCAACCGAAATAAAGGTTCCTCAAGCCCTTTCCACTGCTTGTCTATAATGTTGATATCAGGCCACGCTCTGAAACGAGATACAAAATGCGCGTGTTTATTGCGGCTCCCGGTTTTCTTTACCATGAATGAGCAATACCTCTTTATATGAATAACAACAACAAAAAGAGATCACACTTTCTCTGTAGGTGGTGCTTTATGACAGACCTGCCATACTTATTCAGTTAATACGCACAGCACAGTGAGTATAGAAATCCTCTAACCCCAGATAACAATGATTTGTAAGAGTTTCACTTTAATTACAAGTATATTTGAAGGCGTTATAGTCTTACTCTAATACAATATAATTTTTTCAGTAGGTTGGATTCAATCTTTTTATTGCAAATATTCTTTTGTAAAACTCAGTAGCTTTTCAACTAAATGTCAATTCATTTAGACAAACTGTTATGTTATGTTATGTTCTCTGAACATATTTTAAGGATTATCGTCCATTGTTAATCTTATCCTGTGTTCGTAAGTTGGAGTTGAAAAAAGTGTTTTTTTTTTTTTCCATAAAAAAAAACTTCAGTCAGGACTACTGACTACGACTTTGTTCGCGAAAACTGCACAGAAAATGAAGACGTCTCTATCCATCCAACAGACGTCAATATATTGACCTAACAACTCAGAAACAGTAATTGCATTTGCTCCACTTCCTGTTGAAGATAGAAAAACATGCTGCTTTTTTCTATTTCACCAAATATCTCGTTGAGATCTTTCAAGTAAACGCAAGTAAGCGATTCTTTTTCGAGAATCGTACAATTGAAGATGAATCTTTTACACGAGTAAAGAAACTGAGTGACAAACAAAGTTGATTAGGGCTATATTTAGGCATGTAACTTACTTATAGATTGCTGTCTTGGAAATGAAAACAGACTTCTCCTTTATGGCTTCCAAAATCATGGTGGCGTAGGCCTTGGGAAGGGCTTCTTCGAGAAGACACTTGTTCCATAGCAAGGACTTATCAGTCATCTTACGTCCTGCCTTCTGGCGATATTCTTGATCTGCATTTGGAGACTTAATGTAACGCCTATTCTGACTCAATGCGAAGAAACCATTGACGTGCACAGGCAAACCAGTTAAGCTTTTCGTTTGGACTGGTAACGGCAAGAAACAAAAGACGTGGCCTTTGATATCAGGCGTCTGCAACTGTGGCCCGTCTGGCAATGCCATAGCAACACCTACTGTGGGGAGATAGCTCAGATCCTTATCTGTCATCAATTTCTTGAACGTTGAAGATACTTACCCACCACAGAAGTAGTTTGTAACAAAGAATGAGTGTTGCTCTGTCAAGTGCGTCTCGAAGTTTATTGTTTCAATGGTCAATGGGTAACTCACTGTGACTGGTTCGGGCATCACTTTACCAGGTGTTATTTTTTTGAGAAACTCCCTTCTCTTCCCACGAACTGTTCTGAGGCATTTCTCCGCAATCTTCACTTGAAAGATTCTTCTGGGACTGGACTCTGATTCCTCTCTGGTATAAAGCTCAACAGATTCCAGACTCTGCAAAAACAGGAGTATTAAGGGAGCATCGGCTTTGAAACTGTCAAACAAGGTCGTCATCTTATCTGCGTTGTACAGTGTTTCTGAAAGGTCCGAGGTTTCCTGTCTGAAGGGAAAACGGAATAGAGTTCCATCATAGAATCCCTGGGAGAAAACTTCATCCGTACAGTTAAATATGCCTTTGTAAGGAAGGAATTGGTCAGAAAACGCATCGATGGTCGCACGGTCTTCGTCAAATCGCCAGTACTTCCCTGTTCGTATGCGACGTCTGTCCGAAAAATGAACGCCATGAGGATCAATAAAGCCAATCCGCGAATCACTGATCAAGCTTGGCAAATCTGAGTTGAGAAAGAGCCACGTACGTATAAGTAAATTACTAAACTTTAATAATATGCATCACTTTCGAACCTCACCATCCTGACACCTCTCTATAACAGACACCACTGTAATGGGACGACACCTATCTATTAATGACATTTTCCTACTGATAAGGTCTCAATACGGTATATTGAATAGTTTAGATACAAAGGCCTGTAAAGTCTACAGCTTCCCTTTTTTCAACCATAGCAGCTTTGCGTCAATTCAGGCCACCTACCGACTTTTGTAAGCCTTGAGTAAGTCACATGAACTACCACCTCAATGTAATGTCGTTGTCAGGATGACGACATCTAAGTGGTTTTGCGCAACGCTGACATGGCAGATTGTTGGTCGCCACGCTTTTGTACCGTTTTTGGAGCAGATAACGCAACAGATAAAAAAAAAACGCCAAAAAATAATTTTTATCTTTGGCTTAACTGGAAGGTATTTTGCGTTACCTGTCATGTGAAAAACAGATTTGAATCCCAAACCAAAGCGACCGACTTTCATGGGATCCTCCACTTTGATGCTATCACAGACCAAACGGATGCCTCTCCAATCTTCTTTGGTAAATTTCGAGTTGTTGCAGGCATAAAGTGCTGGACCCTATATAGAAGTAAAGGGATATCAAATCAAATCAAATCAACTTTATTGGTACATCCAATTAAAATGGGTTTTCACATACCAATTACAATAAAATCTAATATGAACAATAGAAATTCAATATAAACATTTGAAAGTGAAAAAACATTACCATACTATTTAAAAAATATAAAATATGCATAATTACACCTATTGAGTGTCAATGGCTTAAAAACTCGTCAAGGGCACGTCCTTTAATCGCATTCTTAAAAACATTAAATGACTCTATGTTTGCTAAACTTTCTGGAAGGTCATTCCAGAGCTGAACAGCCCTATATGAGAAAGATCGCTGACCTGTTGCTGATCTAAAAGATGGTACATGAAGTTTATCTTTATTCCTAGTATTTCTAGTATGCATCTGCCTTCTTGTCGAAAACTTATTACACAAGGATGGTGGGGCTAATCCCTTTATACATTTGAAAGCCATTAAAATGTCTCTAACCTCCAGTTGCTTAGCAACC